GGGTATGTTATATAAACAGAAAAAGAACAAGGCAGATGAAATGGAAATAGTATGGGGGATCAATTAATAGATAGTATTAATTGATAGTATAAGTGATAGGACCTAGCACAACCAAGTTTCACTTCTCTACCTGATAAGGTTTTGAATCCTGTGAAGCCCAGATCTGGAATTAATTACTGACTTCTGCTTTATAAGCGCTCACCCTCTTGTGTCAAGCACAATACATCAGCTACTGGCACCCAACATTCATACAAAAACTGAGCATTTTAGCCCTTATCGTATCTTTGGACCTGCACGAATGCATTTGACAGTTTCTTCTTTCTCTGATTTGAATGGGTTAAACATGTCCTTTCCCTTCGCTGGCTCTCCATACAATTGGAATCCAGTCTGTCCCACTGAGAAACCTGGATGATTTTTCAAAGCGGTCTCTTGTTAGTTCATGAAATGGGGCGTGCACTTCAGGATCTGTGAGCCCCCCACGCAACCTCACTGTGTGAGACTTCAGATCACTAGGATTTCTGTTTTCAATTCTGACCTCTTCTGAATCCCGTTCCTCTTGATAATCCCAGCAGCTATTCTTAAAAAAAAAAAAAAAAAAAAAAAGGCCATGGAGCTTTTATCAAAGGCCCAGGGACCATTTCTCCTGTTTTTGTTTCTTAATTTCTCTCCATTGTTCTCCAGGGTAATTAAAAGGCCACTATATAATTATTTATGAGGACTAGGGGTTCTGTCTGTTTTTTTTTACCACACTCTACCTTTTAGATTCTACATCTGATTAAGCTGGTGGTCTATTAGATGGTGAGGAATCTGGGCTTTGGTGTAAATCCATGGGTTTGACCATAGAAGAGATTGAATCATCCTTACAAACAATACCTCGCCTAACAAGCTACTTTTATTAAATTTACATCCTTTTCATACCTTTCACCCTCGTATCTTGCATTTTTAGCATGTACCTACATAAAAAGATGAATAGAAACATGACTATCATATATTAGAAAAATGAGGAATTCAAGAGAAACATTCATCCAGGCCTAAGCAGGTATTTGAGACTGGCTGTTTTAGGTCCAAAGTCTGGAGCAGCTTCATGGTAGAGGGGAATGAAAATCCCAGGAGAGTGGTTATGAACTTTATCCCGAACTGACTCCCCTGGGAAACACTTACCTTCTCCTTTCAATGGGAGTTAAAGCTTTTGCCAGTTTGGGATTTGTGTGTAGCTGTGAACGTAGCTACATCAAAGCTCCCAACATGATCTGTGGAAAGACTCTGCTCATCTCTTGACTCTTGGTTCCATGGGAAATGAGTACAAAAATCTTGCTAAAATGAAAAAAATAAAAACCCGTGTTTTCCCATATGAATCTATTTAAAATTTAAATATGACAGCGTGGGTGCTTCACTTCACAACCAATCCTTCCTGGGTAAAGTGAAGGGAAGGCTCGAGAACTTCATGACATCTTAACTTCTTAGTCAGTGGGAGCACATGGCCCTGGGCTATGCTGTCAGCCAGAATCTATTGCTTTTGTCAGATGTTTTATTAGATTTTCCTAAGCTGTATCACGCTTAACAGAAACGTAGCTCCGGAACCAAATTATGATACCATTCATATTTTTATCGCAGTCCTCTGGGCTACTTCTTATGACAGACGGTGAATTTCAGTTCTAAGGGGGCACACTTCCATATTTCTTCCCCATACCAGATGAAATTCATCATGAAAGATGCATCAAAACTTCTGTGGTTACTGTATCTGACATTGGTACTTTTGGGAAGTGGCTGTCTGGCCTGGTAACACAGACATCTTTTCTTCAGTCTTTCTTGAAGACTAAAAGGACTTCAAGAACCACCTGCCATTTCTCCTCTTCCTTCCTCTCAGAGACAACCTTGTTTAGATGACTTGACATTTGACTATTTTAAATGATAACTCCCATCAGCTGACTGACAACTCTGGGTTTCAATTGGCTTCTCAGCGCTGCAATGGGGACTTTGTTATCTTTGTGTTACCCTAGGGGACACTCACTCGGGCTCATAGTTTAAGAAATTGTTTTGAGGTCACATGGCTAACAGAAGGGATGCCATGTGCCACTAGCCAATGATATAGGTAGGAAAGCTATCTCTCTTCACTTGTCAGTGTTTGCTGGTGCCCAGCCCAGTGACTGGCTTGGACAAGTAGTCTTAGAGGACAAAGATAACAGAGCAAATGAGCCACGACTGCAGGTACATTAACTTGCAAGGTTTATGAATGCCAGGAAAAGAACAGACACAGATCTATGATGAAGCTTTTACTTGCTGAGCAATTATAATTCTAAACATTTTTTGGATAGATTTCAGGCCTTCGAAGTATTTTAAAGTAATAATATCAATGACTTTAATGTCTAAATAACCTTTATAGGTGAGCACAATTTAAAAAAATTCCCAGCCTTCGACATCCCAATGTTGATTTGCCTAATGCAACTTTCTGAGAAAGTCTTATAGATTTGCATCTGTAGCCAGTTTGGGTATGGCTTGGATTTAAAGTTCTGAGGAGGCACATTCTTTGCCTGGCTGCTTTGGAGAATTAACCCTTCAAGAATTCTTTTAGGCTGTACTTCCAATGCTGATTTGTAATAATGAACACAACTCACACATGAGGACACTCCCTTGCTTCAGGCTAGGGGGACACCAACACCCTACCCCACAGTTTGGAGCTCACCCTTAAAAGTGGAAGACCTGCATTTGTTACAGTCAGGACTTAACCCTCCCACCCAAGTTTACCGTTGTTTTGGTAGATTGACCCAATGTGTTCTTTGATTAAGAAATTAACTCTCTGTGTATTCTTTATTGTTTATGTGCACATATTTAATATTTCAAGAATGAAATATGAGAAATAATATCTGTTGTGTATTATGAGCAGTCCCTGTGAGTTCCTTAGAGAAGTCTGTTGTCAGTAGGAATTTGCATTAGGCTTTGGAACTGAAGAACAGGGTGGAAAATCATGTTATTATTTTCACAGTACACTAGTATATCCATCCTCACCAGTTGACAGTAGCCTCAACCATCATTTTGAAATGTAGGTAAATAACACCATATGCTCAGCATTGAAGCATTTTGGTCTAAATGTAGTCCCATGGGTTGTGATGACTGTGAAAGCAGACCTTGTATTTGTAGACTAGGAGAGAGAAAGGTCTGGGGCAATAGCTAGGTCGATTAAGAGCTTGCCTTGCAGACACAAGGACCTGAGTTCAGTCTCAGAACTGGGATAAAAAAAGTCAGGCATGGTATTACATGCTTGGAATCCCAGTGATGGGTTACTGAGGGCAGTTAGGCCCCTGGGATTCACTGGCCAGGCAGCCTTGCACACTTGGGCAAGTTCTGTCTCAGAAAGCTGAATGATGTCTGAGGGACAGACACTAAAGTTTGTCCCCTGGCATCTCCATGTGTGTACACACCCACACATGAATATGAGCATACACATACACACACACACACTAAGGAGATAACTCACAAAGTGTTTTTCCAGAGATACTTCTATATTTCTAAAATAAATAAAAGGTAAAAGAAAGCATTTTGATGTTTGCTCACGGGAAATAGTATTGGATGGAAAGATGGGTACTCTGCTTGTAATTTTTGGAAGGAATGCTTAATTTTGTGGGTGCAAGCACCAAGGATTAGGTTGCACAGGGAGTGAGCTTAGAGAACCCACAGCGGTTGGAAAAATAAGTGATTTTCATTCCTTCCCAAACCTCGGCACAATTGCGCTTTCAGAAATCTTTGGCCATTTTACATGGTATTGTCTTATTAACTCTGAAATAATTGCACACTGAAAACAGTGTAGGTGTGATCACAGACTCCCGTCTGTAGACAGAACACATCATAAACACTTCTGTATTCCAGAAATTTCCAAATAAGTGAGACTTGAGATTCCCTCATTTGGATACAGCCTGTGGTCACATTCAGTTTCCCGTCAACTGAGTTTCCAAGTAGGGCTTCTCAGTCTAGAGCTCAGAACACATTCCCCAAGCACCTTCCCTGGCTCCTCTGAGCCTTCTGTTCTATTATTAAGGCCACACACGTGCCTTATCTGTACTTCTCAAGGGGTAGAGGGTGGCATTCTTTAGATAACTTCCGAGACCACTTGAAATACACTTCTTAAAGAACACCAAAAAGAACCAAATCCAGTTGGGTTTCCTCTACCACTTTCCTCCTTTTTCTTCTGAAGTTTCTAGTGACCAGAACTAAGCTAATACGACTACAATATTGCAAATGTCCTATCTTGTGTATCCCTGCTTTATGCATATCATGTAGAGGATAGGTCTTTAGGGAAACAGGCAGTAGTTACTGTCGCATGCCAAGGCAACCTTGGTGTTCAGCTGGGTTTTGTGGGCCAATTGAACTCATGTTCAGAGAATTCAGCAACTGTACCATTTAATGATCTGTTTTTCTGGAAGGATCATGGGATATCATGAGCATAAATTACTTGTCAGTATTATATTGTTTCTTTGTTTTTGTTTTGTTTTGTTTTGAGTGAATCTGTTAGGGGAAAACACCAGCTTACACTATATAAGGGCATTATAGAAGTCAGGTTACCTAACAAATGTTGCTCACTGTACTTTTCTTTCCAGAAAATAACTATCATTGATTACAGGGACAAGCCAGGGGGACATTATTTTTATAGTTTCATGTCGTTTGCTGTCTGTCATCACAAGGACTCAATGTTGGGAACCGACAGGTTTCAAATATTGATGGTCATATATGAACATCAAATATACATAAACATCATAAATATATATGTCAATAAAACCTACGTGTGTGTTACCTGGTATCTTGCCATTTAAAAAAATCTATCCCACCTCCCGTGTTTAGCACATGGGTTGAGAACTGAATCAAAGTTGTTGAGAACTAACCTTCCACAGTCTTTGCAGAATCAGAGCATGGCTTCTCTTCTAGCTATGTAGGGTATTTTAAATAGAACACCTTGCCATCTAGATGTTGCTACATTATAAAGACATTCTCTTTGTTTTGTTTTACAGCTTTCACAGGCCTCTGGGGACGGAAATCAGCATTTTTAACTATCCGGAGGATTTGTTTGAGGTTGTTGGTGTCACAATGATTTGTGGTCCTATTAAAATGACATTTGCTGATGACATGATCCGACGCGTGGTATTGGTTCATCTCAGCGTGAAGACGTGCTGATCTTTTCATCATGGCCACACAGGTAATCTAGTAACCTGCGGCTCTAATGTGATCAGCTACACTGCTATCGCCAGCATTTGCATAAGTGCTGTGCAGAGATGGACTGACTTTCTAATTCAAAGTCACGTCAAGGAAAAATAGCTGTTGCGGGATGATTTATCCCTTTATTGACTAAATGAAATTATTCAAATCCTGAAGTCTGCTCCCTTTCCTTTGGCATCAGGATTTCAAGTGGGTTCTCCCTATTCTACTTCTTCATATTAAACACTACACTTGCACACGCATGTGTGCATGCACACACACACACACACACACACATTACATTTGCACTCATACTACTTGTATGCACACATGCATGCATACCCACCATAGACTTTTGCAAACACAGTGTGGAATGCCTCTTTTCCTTTCTTTCTTTTCTTTTTTCTTTCTTTCTTTCTTTTTTTTTTTTTTTTTTTTTTTTTTTTTTTTTTTTTTTTTTTTTTTTTTTTT